CCCCCCCCCAGCCAGGGCCTATGGCGGGGCCTGTGCTTCCCATCTGTCCTTCCCAGGCCCGGTCCTCACCCCTTAGCAACCTGGTCACTGCTGGTTTGGACCTCCCTCCTCAGTGGTTTTCCTCCGGTATGTCTTAATTGTTTTGTCCTCCTTTTTTCTTTTTTTCATTCATTTAATATTTATTTGGTACTTGCTATGTATTATCAATAGGCTTGCTTTGAGGAAACCAGCCTAATGACAGAGGCAAATGTGAATTTATACACCACACTCCGCCTCCTTTTAAGTCACACTTACTAACTCAGCTCTCTCTGGCACTAAGGTCTCATCATCTCTGTTATCCTGAACAAACACTCTCCCAACTGACCCTGCACGGGACAGCTGTCAGATTTCTCCCAACGGCAGAGCAACACCGGCAGACTAGATGCTAACTGAGGCGCTCTCCCTGCTCTGACACAGCCCTGGCAGCGGGGTCAGGGCTGGGGCTGCCTGCTGACTCAGGTTGCCCTGCACCAAGGCTGACTGACACCTAAATCTCCGTCAAAACAGCCTGACCCGCTGGGCTGAGCTGCAGTGGGAGGACGGAAGTAACTTCCCGAGGAATCAAGCCACCTAAGGCGGGGGAACAGACTCCTTGTCCTTGGAGCACACAGAAGCTCAGGCCACTGTGTGGTTCTGCCTGAGGACGAAAGACAGGCTATGTCAGTCATCCTTTAATATTTTTGGGTTACAAACCATTTTGAGAATCTTGGGAAAGCCAGGGATTCTTCCTCGAAAAATGCATGGATATACATGCAACAATTTCATATAGAACTTGAGGGTGTTCCCGGATTCCTGAAGTCCATCCAGGGGCCCCAGGTGAAGAGGCGCTGGACTGGGAAATCTTTCAAAGGCTTTCCATTTTATGAGTCACTTGGTTGGATGTTCTATCCCAGTGAAGACCAAACCCAGAAACACGGGATACACACTCCAGTGGGACGAGCCTCATGTACCAAGCTTTCCTATAATCTTTCCCCCTGACTTCCTTGCACACTGTTCAAAGACAACTCGCTGCAGTGTTGTTTGTTTGACATATGAGGCCCAAGCCAGTTAGTCTTTCAATGGGGCCATGCTCTGGAGAGGCAGAAATGAATCAAGTTTCATATAAGCAGGGGGTTAACGTATGTGCAGTGCCCTGGTGCACATGCAGCTGTGCTCACACTGTCAAGTATTACCCCTGAGCCCTACTCTGGAGGATGGAAGCTCCCTCCCTCTCGGTTGAGCCTGCTATTGTGGAGTGCGTGTAGGGGTACTGGGGACCAAAGCTCTCCTCACCCAGCCAGATAGACTTGGTTCTTTGGCTTTTAAAGCAGCCTACAGCTCAGTTCCATGCATTCCTTTCTGAGCGTCTCTGCACAGTGTCCCCACATGACCATGGAAGATGGAGCCCTGAGGCATGCAAGCTGTCCAGTTGGCAAGCCTCTCCCTCCTTCCCACCTCCCCAGAACTCCAAGGGGAGACATCGAACACCACTCATGAGCTATGGTAGAGATTGCTCACAGCCAATGAGGTACGTATATGGCGGGATGGGTGAACGTCAAATATGGGCGCCATGGAGGGCAGAGGAGAGGTTAGCAAGGGTTAGTTATGACCACACGGCCCCTCCCCTTCCCACATGCCTTTTCAACGACAATCTTATCACCGCAACCGATTTCAAATCAGACAAACTTAAAAAAAAACCACACACACTCAGCAAGACACAGGGTAGAGAAGTTTGCTTTTAGTGGTTGTTTTGGAAAAGAACTTGGGGGTGTTTGTGTAGACCAGTCTTTGTAAGGACAGTATTCCTCGACTCACCAGTACAAATCATTGCCACACAGGCGGGACATGCCTCACCTGTGACCCTGGCCCCTCTGTCTGTTGGATTTGAGACTGAAAGGCCCAACCATGAATCAGGTGGTGAATATTGTGGGATGCTCTGCTGCGGCCTGGAAGGCCCTCGGGCTTCACTCCGTACCCCAGTCCTCCCGAGACAGTCAAAGGGATACTGTACCTTGTAAGAAATTGCCACATACTCGTGGGGTTTTGTTACGGGCTGTCAAGTGTCAGAGACGGAAAGAGGAAGAGCGGGGCTGTGGGTCCCTGTGTGACTAGTGCGGCTCCAGCCCTGGGGCGGTGGGGTGAGGTTGGGGAGTTACGTTACCTTCCTGGGCACAGCAAGGGCAGAAGGAGAGAGGTCTACGCCGCGGAGTCCCGCCACTGGGCTCAACTTCAAAAAGGACCAAACAAGGAAGAGGAGGAGGAGGAGACGGAGAAAGACAAAACAGGAGAGGAGGAGGAGTTTGCAAGTGGAGAGGGACAGGGAGAAGGTGAAATAAAAAACAAGCAGAGGACAAAAAACATAAAAAGTGAGAAAGGAACAATAGGAGGAAAAGAAAAAAATACAAGAAATGGAAAAGCAGAAACAAGGGAAACAAAGTCTACAAATGAATTAAGTCCTTTTTTCAGCATGGAAACTGGCAAGAGCAGACCCAGGCATGGCCAGCAGTCCCTGATGTGGGCATGTGGCTTAGAAAAGGACCGCGCACGCACAAATGTTCCTTCCCGATGGCGGGCGGCTCCCGGGTAAGGGGCTGCTCCTTCCTCTAGTCCCCACAGGGAGGGAGGTGACACTGGGTGTAGGGTTCCCTTCTCAGAAATGCCCAAAGCCCCTGGGACAGGCCTGCCTTCCTCTGTGGAGCAGACAGGTAAACGCGTGGCCAAGCTGCCACTAGATTTGTGTTCATGGACACGAGCTCCCAGTAAGACTAAGCTGGGATAAGTCTAAGGGGCGGGGCGGGCTCTGCGACCGACCACTGGGCCCAAGGACAGCAGCTGTGACTATAGGGCAGCAACCACCCTCGCGGTGGGCTTCCAGTGCTCGGATATCTGCAGTGCTTCTAACTCTGAGCCAGGGCGTGTTGGGGGAACGTGTCCACACAGAGGCAACTTCCACCAATCCATATCGCTATCCCCCCACATGCCAGGGAGAGCCAACCATCCCCTTTTCTTCTGCCCCTTCCATCTGCAGAGCTGGAGGAAGGCTGTCACACTTTGGACTGTAAGACCAAAAGGGGTGAGCTGACAGGACATGCCAAAAACCCACAGTAACAATGCTGGTCAGAGTCGTGGAAGGGGCAGTTGAGAGAAGACAGTGTACAGAGAGACACCTTTGAGACTTAGAGAGACCTGAGAGTGACTCAAGGACGAGGGAGAGGAGCTTGGCAGGGACCATCACAGAACCACAGGGGCACACACAGGAGACAAGGAGCCCACCCCCAGGGGCACAAGTGCCTCAGGAGCTGCGGGGGGTGGGAAGGTTAAGTGGGTGGTTTTACAATTAGAGCAGGGTATAAGTAAGCCCGTTTTAGTCAACAGAAGGGCCAAATAAATAAGCTATTGGATGAGACCCTTCTACTTTGCAGTTGAGGAAATGCAGGCACCACATTTTCCTTTGCCTCAAGCCCCTCACAGTGCTCTCCACAGTGCTTTGTGCATAGTCTGATACCAGGTACACTTCAAAACTACAACTGGAGACTGCTTGTGTGAAATGCTGATTATAACCAGTGCTCTCCACAGACATGACCATGACGAGCTGACGTGCTGGGGTAGGGAGGAGTACGAAACACACTGCTTCATAGCTGATCTACAGTTAGTCTTCTTCATTACAAAGTATAGAGTCTGTGTTGGTGCTCAGAACACCTGGTTAGATCCCATGAAATATTCTGTCAGAGAGCACTCTGTGCCACTTCCTGGGACCAATGTCACACCAGACAGGCTGTGGTGCACAGTGGAAGCATCCATATTCATTAAAGGCACAGTGACACCATACCAAAACACACCCAAATAAGAAAGCATGTACCTGCATGAATATTGAAAAATGTTTTTCTACACTCTGGATATCACAAAATACAGCTTTTAGCTTTTATCATGTAGAGTACATCCTCATACACTCTTTCCAATACTGAAGACAAAGTGAGGTAACAGAATATTCAGAACAGAAATTAGGAAATGAAATTAGAAAAGGGGTATCAGGTAAAGCGAGTGTTTAAAAAAAAAAGATTCTCGTAACAAGCGGCAGAAAGCAGGATGTAAAAGGCCAGAAGGGCTGCCCCTCATAAGCATGGTCATGACTTCCTTCTTTAGACCTCCCTACATGCTCCAAATTTCCTTAATGTAGACTACCTTAATAATCAGAAAAACATCCAATACATACTGTTTTGAAAAGAAGAAATTGGCGGGAAAACTGACTGGAAACATCGGACAAGGGGAGTTCCACCCAGACTCAAATCTGAAATGAGCAAGGGAAGCAGGGGGTTCTGATTCTGTCATTTCTTTGCCTTTTTTGGAGATGTGGGAAATGCAGGGCTTGGTTCACTAGTTCTAAAGACCAAGATGCGGTCGAGCTCATGGCAAACAGAAGTTAAAAAAATTCTTTTTAATGCACCAATATAGAAGTCAATGGTACT